AATACATTAGCGCCATTTATCATCATAGGCGAAGCATTTCAGCAGATGCTGTCCCATTACGGCAACGGCAACTATCAGCTCCTACAACGTACCCGATCCCCTATGACACAAGCACAACTTTATATACCAATGGCCAAATTCCGGTACCCACATCTTGTAATCTAACGGGAACTTTGAATGGCTTTTTTGCTACAGATGACGATGCCTGCTCCAATCCCTACTGCTTTGCCGGCTTCGATGGCCACCATGGTGCATCAGGGTTCGCCACGCCCGCACTCCACGATGATGGCGCAGCAGATGCCGCCAGCCGTGCCTCAGAGGCCTATGTCCATGCCTCCAAATGGATCGGGGTCTCCAGTACAGTTTGAACCCGTCTGCAGGTGAGTCTTAAAGTGGTCATATCGAGCAATACAGGTAGGATCTCATTTGCAGATACGAGGACACGCAGGCAATTCGCACTGTGGCTTTCCATCCGACTGGGCGGTACTTCGCTATAGGAACAAATTCAAAACAGTTGCACATATGTAGATATCCCGACATCAGGAAACTGAGGTCACAACACATCTTGTTTGCATTTTTTTGTAGTTACATTCAACTGATATTCTCAAAAAGTGGTCTTCTCCTGGTGCTTTTACTTGCGCTAAAAGATGCTCAGATTTTATGCCTCTTTTCTGATAAGGTGGTTTTGCTTTATCAGATACTAGCTAGCATGCCTGGCTTCGCCCGATTTCGTCAATACAATTTGGTAAAGATCGCCATTTCCTAATTCTATGTCACATATCCCTCTGAACCGCTTACATATTGTTACGAAATTAGGCGAAAAACTTCTTCCAACAGCTATGTTGGAACATCTTCGCAATTGTGGTTCGAGTTTGCACTTCTGAGTAGTTCTGATAGTATAACTTGCTTTGCTTTTCCATTTAACACTAATTTCCGCATTATATACTGGGTTTTCAGTGTAACGGACCAAGTTCGACATCCAGAAATTCTTCTCTCTCGTCCCAAGCAGCACAGAGGGTACAGGACAAGCGATATTCTTTTCGCTGCAAAGCTGAAATTCTTTTAGATCCGTTTACTGCTTGGGCTTCAACCCGACTGGCGATTTGCTAGCGACTGGCTCCAATGATAAGACTTTGAGGCTTATGGCGTTTAGCTCAGATGTGTGTAAGATTGGTAAGTTTCTAGATCATTTAAATGCGTCTTTGGGATTTTTTTTCTAATTATTATGAGAATACCTTCGAGTAATACATGTATATAACCAGGAGCTGAGATGGAATTTGGTTTTCATGACGGAACCATTAGAGATGTCGTTTTCCTCGAAGATAGCGCGAACAGGTACATAATTTCATCTGCTTTCCACTGTAAAAAAGTATTTAATTTTTTGTTGATTTAACGC